CGTTAGCATCGTATGCTATCATATAATCCATGTAAACGACTGAGTGTGTTCTTGCTTTTGAACTAAACTCTGGTGTTAAACTTTCTGTGTGTAACCACAGATTCTCTTTTTCTCTCTCTGTTACAGCAGATACTCGTCTTTAAGGTAAAAAAACACACTTTGTTACCACATTCCGGTTAAATCCGCGTGAATTAGCAACTGGCCTGTTCCTGTCAAAGCTAACTGGCCCATAGCTTCCTAGATGTCCCTCCTAGCTGGATTTGGGGGCTGGGTTACTTCACCTGGGACCAGGAAAGGTGGGATTAGTCCTCTGGATCTGCTTTGGTTTGTTCTCAGGCTTCCAGCTGAAGAATCGGATTAAAACTGGAAAGGATCCTGCATTTTAAGCACTATAAGGCACCTAAAAGCCTTTGATTTTCTCAAAAACCGACAGTGTAGCTTATACAGCAGAACGTCTACTTATGATCACCTAAACATACGAAGTTTCCAACATCCGAAGGGAAATTTGAGAAAAAAACAGAAGTCGCTCCTGGAACCAGTTAAACTCCTATGTAGAGGTTCTGGTGGTGTTCTGTCACTAACAAACATTAAACGTAGATGGTTGAAGACATTGGCCAGACTGGGGTAAATAAGGGTATATAAACTTATATACAAACATTATATTGGCAACATACAGCGATACCAGCCCAGTTTGGGATGGATTCACCTGCGTTTCAGCTCATATTTGAACAGGAAACATACGCAAATTCAGCGATTTTGACTATAAAAATGTATAAGTGGACAGATATTGATATTAATTTAATGTTTTCTTTGTTTCTGGCCCATAGTGCCTCCCCTGACCGCACGTCCCTGCCCAGGCCCAAGGTCCCGCTGTCCTCGGTTAATGTTCACATCGATTTGCCGAATGCAATCGGGACACGGCTTCATGGAAAATGAGGAAAATGAGGTAAAAACAAAAAGCGCAAAAGCACACGACCGGGTGGAACCTGGTATCCCTCCAACTCCAGAAAGCAGCCAGTGGAGGCTCAAAGTCCGACGGTTTTCGGTGATTCTGCTGCTAAAAGGAGTTGATTCACATGCGGAGAGACGCCGTCAGCTCTGAGGAACAAAGGACGCCCCAGGTGGACCAAATTAGGCCCCCAAGGAGGCCTTAAGGAGTCCACCAGGGAGGCCAGCAGGAGGCCCCAAGGAGGCCGGTAAGAGGCCCCCAAGGAGGTCTACAGGAGGACCCCAAGGACGCCCGTAAGTGGCCCTAAGGAGGTCTACAGGAGGACCCCAAGGACGCCGGTAAGTGGCCCTAAGGAGGTCTACAGGAGGACCCCAAGGAGGC